TTTATGGTTAATGTAAATACTGTGTATAAGTGTAACATAATTTCTCGCTCAATTTCTCTAATATTTGGACGATATTATGGAAATGTGTCATACAATACGTCTATACCTATATATTGTATACATACTATTATGCACCTATTGTACATTTGTACGTATACGGTTTAACTATGTATAATGTTATGTATGTCGTTTCTATTTTCCCAGGACGCCTAAACATGATATTGTATCGAAGGCGTTTGACTGGCGGAACAGATGAGCAAAATGATAACATTTAACACTATATTGTAAAGTTGTTGTACAGTTATTAATTTTCTCGGTAAAATCCGCTATAACATACCTAACCATTATCTGCGTTCATCATAATGAGTAATGACATAAGGCAATAATGATTGTATATTATTTTATTTTATATTGTGTTTGAAAAAATAAGACTTTCTCATTATTCAGCAATATAATATATTGCCCATGTGCTCGAAATTGAAATAATCATACCCAGTCAAACAATCGGAAACACGTTAAAATACTTTATGAAGAGAAAGATTCTGTATTTTTTTTTATTGAGAACAATAGCTATATTTTCGTATTTCGTATTACCGTTTACGTATTTTAGGTGAGATTATAAACGATTGAAACTCGAAAGTCACCGTAGGACATTTTACGTAAATTTAAACATCGATAGAAATACATTTATGTGAACAGAGAGCAGACAGAAAGAAACGTGTAATAGAATATGAAATTTTATATTATTATTTTACTACAATTAAAATTAAAATTAGTGATAATTCAAGTAAAAAATATTTATGAAATGTCTCATACTTAATAGTTTATATTATATCATATAAATTATAACTACAGTGATTTGTTTAAAAAGTATTGAGATGATAATGAATAATGATGACAGTTTGTTAAATAAATATATAAATATACCATAAAAAATTATTTAATATTATATATTTATATGCGTAAACATGCATTGTTCTTACCTTTTTATTTTTTTTAAATACATAATTTGTAGTAAAAAAAAAAATGAATACTTGTGGATTTGGTATTTGTATATTTTCAATGAAACATTAAATAATGTAACATAAACGATAACTAATATTTAATAATACCGATTTTATATATTGACTTTGCTGCACATTAGGTGTCGAAAATTCAGAGTTTTAATTATTGCATACATTACTATACATAATATACTAAATAATTAGTAAATACTTGTTACACGCGCGCACATATACACATTACATATGTATGTCCATCTGTGTCCATCATCTATTATACAGTTAATAATTGTATCAAAACAACTTGGGTGGTATGATATGTTTCATAATACGACTAAAATAATTATAGGTATCTTCTAAATTAAAACAAAAAATATTACTGTATTGAATAGTAAGGTTATAATTGAATTTTAGTTTTTGATTTATAGTATAAAATATCCTTTAAGTATCTATAATTGTTATACATAGCTTAATTTTAAATAATAATGACAAACACAGTGATAACATAACAAATTTCTTATTTGTAACTACAATATACTTTTCTTGTATAATATTAAAAAAGTTTTAATTCATAAAATACTATTTACATAAGTGTTTAGTAGATGAATACGTTTATACGATTTTGTATTATTTTTAAGTAAAATAAAACAAATAAATCAATTCTAAAAAATTTAATCTTAAATATACTTTTGAACGTATAAAAATATACATCTCATACACGCAAAAGTATAATTAGAAATTATTCAAGTACACATTTTTCAATAAGATTATCATGATTCCATCAAGAGCTATGAAGTACGAAGACATTCACTTAATATGTCATATACGGGAAACATTGTATTTGTATACATTGTTATTATATTCAATATATTATATACCTATAATTATATAATTAGAGCGTACTATTATGATATCTAGGTACATGACTACATTTTATAAATATACTAGAGTAACATGTAATCATTAAAATGTTATTCATTTATAATAACGATTCGAGTTGTTAAAATAATATTATAATCAAATTAGATTAAAAAACATTGATATTATATCACATGAATATAGAATGATTCACGTGTTTAAAATAATAGTTATTCGGTAGTATTTGTCTGTAGAAGTGTTTAATATAATTTACAACTAAATCAAATTAATAAAATCATACATATTTCTTTAACACTATGCACATTGTACATATAAAAAAAGAAGAAATATTTTGATTTCAGTGTATTTATTCATTTTTAGATTTAAAGCATCAATAAAAAATTATAAAAGCTATTTAAATTATTTGTATGTGTTAGATTACCTAATAAATAAATACAAGTATACGTAATTTTGTTATTATTTGTTATTATTCGTTATTACTATACAATAACTATTTATTAATTATCTAGTTTTCTTAATATTTCTCTTTTTTTTTTATCCAATATGTTTAACGTAATTAAAAATATATATTTTAGTATTTATCTATGAAATAAAACTTATATTGTATTAATTGAGTAGTACATTTTTTTTTTTTTTTTTTATTCATAATACAATGTAATTTATTTAATTTATTGATGCTTAACTTAGCGTTCTGATCCTAATTTATATAGGTCCTTCTGACAATTAGTTCACTACGTTAGTCTAAATTTATACTAATAATACTCGAATGATATTGAATGGCTTATAGATTGAATATGATTATTAATAAATATAATTACTCATTTATTTTATCGAATTAATTTTGTCTTAGAGTTTACCAATTACCAAGATCAATTAGTAAAAGACTGAAATTAGGATATTTACTGGTAGTAATAGGTACATTTTATGTTTTATTGGTTAAATCGAGGTTTTTCCTGTGTTCATACTTTTACCGTAGTATAATATATAAATATGTGAATAAGAACATCGGCGCCAGGAGATTGATTAGACGTCACACGATACCCATACGAAACGAATCCATGATAGGGATACAGTTTGGTCTAGGTTGTTAAGTATAGACATTATAACGATTGTTATGATGTAGGAAGAATTGATTAACAGTATTGAAAAGTATAGATGGGAAACTAACGGTATTATACACCGCACTGATACAGGCAAATAAATAATAATTATTAGGGCAAAAATAAACGTGAGATTTGATATAGCATAAACTATAATTATTTAATAGTTTATTACTATAATAGGTATCACAGAGATGCATATTATCAAGCTTAACGTTTTAAAAATAATATTAAGTTTTGAACAATAAAAGAAATATAAATATTTAATGAGTGAAAACTAGATAATCCTTAAGCTGTAATTCATTATATAAATTTTAAAACTTTAATAATAAAAATTAAAAGAGAGGTTTTAATCAATTATTGTTTATTATAAAACGTAAATGAGAAATCGATAAAACAATAGCTCTTGGTTGCTTCAAAAATCATAATATTTAGTTTAGGTGAGTAATTATTTAAGCTGCTATGATTCAAAAATTAAAATTTTATCAATTATGTTGTTACATATTTATGCACGACCTTATTATCAGCTACGTTTATAATCATTAAAAATGATATTTAATTTAAAAACTAGTTTTTTAAATAATAAGTTTGCGTGCATTTCAATCATATAGAAGTAGGTATGTTGTTTTATTTCTGTAGGTCAACCTTATTTCATTACATACACCTCTTCAAAATTTGTTTAATAACAAGAAAATTACATTGCATTTATAATTGCTACAAATGAGAACAATCTTTTAATATGAGGTCGATCTTAGAAGAAACTATATAATCAAGTACTTAAGTATATTTTTATCAATGTATTAAATACTACTCAATATAATTTATTCATTAAAAATATGGGTTAACATTCAAAATCACATGTAAAAATTAAAATGAATTATTATTTTAATTTTTATTCAAAATATTATTTTAATTTAACTATTTCAAGTACTCAGACTATTCAGTGTTAAGCAATTAAGATAAATTATAAAATATATATTTACAATTAGGCCAAATAGTCTTAAAACATTAACATCCTATGAAATCGAGTTACAGAAAATATATATGTCATTAAGTACCATAGTGTATAAAACAAAATAATTCCGCTTTGAATTTAAACTACCATATTAAAATACTAGTTTTCGAGAATTAAGTTATATTCCTGTCATAGTTAGTATCATTATTGTAAAAATATGTGTCATTCAATATATTTTATTTACCTGTATATTACGTGTATATGTATATAAAATATCTTTTATGTGACACACAACATATCTGTGAACAATATAGTATTTAATTCTGTTAAAACCAGTAACGTTGCTAGAATGCTGCTGCCTGCTAGCATAGTGCTGCATATTATGCTCATCATATTTAGGGTCATATTTAGTTTAATATTATGCTGATGATGTATTTTAGGTGATTTTTCGGAGAGTTAACAAGATATCCCTTAATAACTTAATGAAATTCCAATAACTTTTGGATATTTCAGATAAACTATAAGCTTGCTTAAAAATATACATCGAAAAGCGTCGTCGGATCTAATAAAATTAATTCCATTTTTCAGTTTTAATATACATATTTTGATTGACATGAGTAAAATACTAATACATAAGGATATTTTTGTTTTAATTTTAGAGGGAGAGTTCAAACATGGAGGACACCTCCTCAAAATACATCACTGCTGATTATACATGTATACCCACATATATAATGCATAATCGAACGCTTTGTTTTTTTTTTTTTTTTTTTTTTTAATTATTCTGGACTCGTAGTGTTGAAATGCACTATTATTTAAATTTACATAATTATTAGGTATCATATTGTTTTACTTTTTTTTAGAAAGTTTACGGTATAATTGAAAACATTTCGTCGTGAATTAACGTGCGCGTATATTAAGACCTTCCGTACATTATAATAATTATACGTGGACTTTCGACAGAAAAACGAGCAACTCGGGTGTAACGAGCGGGAATAATATCGAGACAATATATTTCAAATCACAGTAAGTCTACATGTTGTATGAGTGTAACGTATAACGCACCTACCTGTTGGAGAAAAATCCAAATGCGTGGTGCACACACGTCGGCTTGGCGGTGGCGTCGGCGTCAGAAATCCGGAGGCCGACGAAATAAGGACGGCTGGTCGGCATAATATATTGGGTACACCACAGAATCACATAATATTTCCGATATTGCTGTACACGTCGCGTACTATATAGTTATGGCCGTATTAGGGGGCCGGCGGATTTTGGCGGGCACGATACACTTTTCGAAACGAGATAATCGCGATAACGGCTTGTCGTTATAAATAAACAATGCGGACGATCTGGTGATATCGTGCAGGCGATCACTCTCCGGGACAACCGCAAACCGCAATTAAAACGAGCAATTTACGATGGACGTGAACGTTGGGCACAATACCGTTTTCGCAGCTATTATTTTGGCGGTGTATTATGATCACTGGACGGTCGACCGAGGTACAACACGACACCGGTCGATGTATTACCGGGTATAAAAACTACGAGGACGATGTGTGTACACAATTATTGCGATGCGAGAGACTAGCCGTGATGACCATGGTCCGGTGGCGGTCGCGTCGAGGTTTAAAGAAACGGTTACGTGCGCGGTGCGCTGGAGTCTGGCGTACGTATATGACTGCCGAGTGGCACTGCAACTGCTGAGCAGGAATGAGCGTAATAATAATAATATATGATATACTATGGCAAGTATAGAGGCGATGGTATACCTGTTGCGGTGTATACGTACAGGTGCCGACTGCCGTTCCCGGTGTTGGCGTCTGGGAGAGTGATTGGAGGGGGAGGAAACAGGTAAAAAGATAATAATAACGTAAAGAATTTCGGTGAGGGGACGACGCCGTCGCCGTACACCGCTGCTCGTACGTTCCAGCGGAGTGCCGCACAGATATACGCCGCCGCCGCCGCAGTGCCGCACATCCTGCCGAGTCGTCGCCGAGATCGACGGGAGGTACATACATATAATATAATAATATTATTGTAAGCTGTAAAATATACAATAATAATCGCCAATGCTCCGGTTTAATGCCGACGTACGTATAATAAATATATGTATTATTATATATATACGTGCGGTTGAACTGGTTGTGAATACGTGCGTTTTTATTTCTAACGTGATGCGAGCGATTATTAAAAAAAAAACATATTTTAATTGATATGTTAAGGTTTATCATAACAATCATTTCATCGAGTAAAATGATATGTTTAATAATGAAATATATATATTATAATATTTAGGTACTTGGTACACGTACCATAGTAGATATACATTACAATAGGCAAGGAACGAAAACCGCAAGTCGTTCAGGTTGCTGCAAAATAGCAAACGTTTGTATTAAAAAAAAATTATAATAATAATAATAAAATAATCAGGATCTTAGCTCTATAATATAGGTTTTGACTTTTGAGTGTACTTCGTCATTGAGTATAATAATTCATCTATTAATTATTATAACATTCCATACGGAAAGCGATTCTTATATGAGAAAACTGTGTGTCGTGTGTCAGTTTTGTATAAAGCTATGATGATATCTAAAATAAATTATTATCTAAATATTTTCAAAATTTCAATTTGTATTGAAATTAATAATGTATCTAAACATTCTAAACGTAATGACGAGAAGTTAAATAACTACAACCAATATTTTTTGAATTGCACATTAAGCATAAATAATTAAAATTGTCATTGTTCTTTTAAGGTCTGACTTTATAAAAATTTGAACTTCAAACGTTCAAAAAAAGATTAGGTAAACATATCTTCACACTATTTTTTTTTATTATTTCAGTAGATGAGAAAATCTTATGAGGAAACTTGTATTACATTTTTAAAATCTTACCAACTAACTATTTACTATATTTAAAAATAAATAATTACTAAACCATTCTATCTAAAAATTCTTTTCACTTATTTAACGAAAGAAAAAATAAAACACTTTTGGAAAGTAATCGAAATCGTCTCCATATAAAAGACTAACCAAATACTTAATTTATGAGACATTTACGATTAAAGAAATTAACTTAGAAACGTAAATACGAATAATAAATAATTTTACCATGAAAAGGCTTGGATATTCACACATTATATTTATATATATTTTGCATCTAAATCTAATTGATTATAATTTACATTTAATATTTGTAGTAAAAGTTAGGTATTTAAATAATGTTACGTTATTTTATGCTAAGATAATAAAGTTTAAGATCAAATTCGTGTACTACAGTTAAATTTATTGTCTTGAATCTACATTTTATTACCCTGTATTCTTAGCAACTAGTGAAAATTGGAAATTACGGACGTATTATTGTTTTAACATTTAATCCTTTCTGCGAACAACATAATATCAACTAATATATTATTATGTTTTGTTCACTTTCTCTGGTATAAAATTTAAATAACAAATATATCATATGTTATATGTATCAAAGCCGTCATTTATATTTATTTATATTGTAAAAGATATTTTTTATAAACTATTAAGTTATAACTTATAATTTATAATACTGTATCACACAACTTACTTATATTGTATCAGTTTTCACATTGTAGAAATATAATGAATTTGTGTTGAGAACCTAAGATATATAGGTATTAGGCGATCTATTTAAGTGTCTACATAAATTATTTTGAAAAGTTTTAACATTTAAAATTTTTTTTTTTTAAGTTATTTAATTTTATTTTAAAATAACGTTAAAAAAATTAATTATCATATTTTAACTTTTAACTTTTTTTCAGTGGCAACATTTTAATTTATATTTTAGATAAGAATATTTTTGGAGTATTTCGATACAAAAAAAATCAAATATCAAACGAATAATTTATTAGTATTTTTATAGTATTCATTAATAATTAAAATAAATATTTAAAAGGACACTACACCGCTGTATTTATTGTCTTCATCTTGCAAGTGCTTAACATAGAAAATCTACGCTCAGTAGTTCACGTTTAACTCCATCAAATTTAATATTTGAATGAATTGATCTATTATGGAATTAAATTGTAAGAACCTTATTTGTATTCGTGTGTTGGTTTTTTATAATAATTCAATTATTCAATAAGTTATGATTATTTTTAAATTGCTCTTTTTATTTACGCAGAAGTCAATGAAAAATTGAATTGTCATAAAAAACCAATATACAAACACAAATAAAGTTCTTATGATTAAGTTTCCCAATAGGTTAATAATTCAATCTAATATTAAAGTTAATGAAGTTAAACGTAAACTGCTGAGGCTAGATTTTCTATGTTATACACGCCTGTAAAACAGAGACAACAAATGTGGGTGTCCTTTTAAAATGTTTTGATAAGCGGAGAAGAGCGACACTAAGGTTCTCCACAAAATATATTGGGTAGCTACTTCTTCGCTCATCTGATTTTTAAATACTCATACTTAATTAATTATGTTAACTATTCGTTCTAAATTCAAAGATTTAACTTCTAATAAAATAAAAAAATTAATAAAAAAATCAAATAAAATTTTATTTTAAATTTTTTTATAAAAATTTAATATTCACAAATGTTTCTATTTAAATTATATTATAATAATAAAACACTTATACATTTTTTATGCTGTACATATAAAAATAACATTATTATTATTATTATTATTATTATTTGAAGCGAATTATTGGATGTTGGATGTGTCACTTTAATGTTCATGATATTGGTTTGTTAAACAATTCTATTTTCAGTCATAAGAGATAGGCGACTAATCCGTAATAAAAATGGGTGGTGCGATAAAAGCAAAGTAAGGAATTTCTAGTACAGGCACTTAAACAGATCATCTTGTGACTTATCCTAATGTGGGTATATCATTCAGTCGTTGTAGAACAAACAGATCCTTCAAAATTATACTCTAGACCAGAGCTCTCCAAACTACGGCCCGCGGGCCGGATGCGGCCCCCGAATAAGTTTTCACCGGCCCACCAAATAACGGAAAATATTCTAAAAATATATATACCTAGTTTTCATAGTCGTAATCGCACGCACGAGCAATTATCAGCTGTATTAGCTGTAATTTATAAATTATATACGAAAATTAAATGTATTCATACATTTTGGTCCGCTAAGAGCTTTTTTTTATTTTATGTGGCCCTCGGATAAAAAAAGTTTGGAGACTCCTGCTCTAGACCATAGGCGTGAGCAGATTCTATAAGTAGTGCCCATATATTATTATTGCCTAGTGGCCCTCTATACTAAAACTATAAGCCTTTTTCAAACTTAATTTTCTTTTAGTAAACATGTTTTAATACAAAAAATACAAATTGCACACTACCATACATCATTTCCGAGAGAGATTACCTAGTCGTGGCATGTTAAATAAAAGTTAAAAGAAAATCAAAAAATAAAAAATAAATGAATAATGATCATCAATAATAGATAATCACAAGTAATACGTTAAACAATAAAACTGGTATCTCAATTCAAAATTACAATTTTTAATATATAATACCATTGATTAAAAATAGTATTATTAGTAGGTACCTAGTACCTACTATTTACAAATTTATAATCTATGATAATACTACCTAGTCACTATACGCCTATACGTTAAATTGTATACCAACTATTAACAACAGATTGCACAAGGTAAATTATCCTAATTTTTCAAATTCGCTTTAAAAATATAATTTAAAATTTATTGTAGTAATTAAGGTATGTTTATTGTAATTAATTTATGAACAATTTGATTGAGACATTAAAAAAAATAAAATATAGTAAAAACACATATATTACTTTAATTTGTCTGGATATCAAAAATTGTGTAGGTAATGCAAGTATCCTATCAATTCTTATTTGCTATTTTGTTAGGTATAATGCGAGATTAATATTAACGATTGTGGTGTTTGTGTACTGTTAATCATCTATCCACAACGCCGTGAAATTGTAATAATATAATTTAGGGAAAATGCTAAATATTTTTACGTGCTATTCATCAATTGGTGAATATCTTCAAAAGTACAGCAGTTAAAAAGGTATTGATTACAATTTTGTTTGATCAACGCAATGTGCTTAGATTTCTTCAACACTGTTCCAATCATTTATCTAGAATCATAGACAGATCTATAGCTCTACCAGTATGACTAACTTTATTTTTAAATCTATGATAGAAAGAATATCTATCAGCCTATAGGGTTATACCTAGAACAGCAGAACCTACAGAGTTGAAACCGCTTCACAAAAATATAATTTCTATCAATCATATAATGTAGCTACAAATTTTCTCGGTAGGTACTTAATTTACGATTAGGTTCCTCTTAAATAACTACTAGTTCAGGAACTTTTATCTGTCTTTTTTTTTTATTGATTACCGTACATAATAAGTACTACTTATATTTTGAATTATTTAAGTTATAAGACTTTATAAGCGATTTTATCATAAGATAAAATTGTTTTTCCTTGTAAGTATTCATAAATTAATTGAAATTCTATATGTGTTTTAATACATAGAAAAGTATGACCATTCCAACAACCAACATAGAAAGGTCATTTTTTACGTTTAAAAGGTCAAAACCTTTAAGTACCATTAACAATAGTGGACATGGCCACATCAGTCTACAGAAAACTTCAATGTACAAACTTGAGATTTGTTTAGTAGTAATTACACTTTTAAAATTAATTTGTTTATTTTATAAGTATTTTACTGATAGTTCAAATATAATTATTATATTATATAATGCATAGTTAATTACTTAAAACTTATCTATTTCGTTATAATTAACTTCAGAGATTCTCATAAAAATATTGATTTGAAATAAATTTTATTTTAAAATTATGTTATTACCATTAAAAAAATTAAACAGTAAAAATAATTTTAAAAAAAACCTGATATCACACCAGTTTCCATATTTTACCCCATACCTTAACAGGTTGACATAATGGAATTAAGTTTATGTGCCCTCAAGTGGCTCTTAATTCCAAGTAGATAATTATTATTTTGTTAAACTGTAACATACACACATTTTTTTCACTAATTTTACAATACTTTAAAACATAAAATATAAATATATTTATATTTAATAATAAAACAACTATAGAAAATACATTATATACATTATATTATGATGGATATACACGGATTCATTTATTTTGCACATACATTGTAACAAAATCTTAAAACTCAAATACAAATACTAATTAAACTTTTGCTTTCAATATTCTCAGTAAGGTAGGCAAAAATAAATAATTATTTGATTCTTGTATTTGAATACCGTCCATTCCATATTCTAAAACAGATTGGCATTTAAAAGCTTCATCATCAGATAAGACACTTGAAACTATTCCACAATTTAATATATCTTTAAGACAGCTATTATCAAATAATTCACTTATGTTTTGGAACTTGGAAACAAGGTTATTTAAAGTATCAAATCCTTCAGGACTAATATCAGGATTTTTTCCGTACTCTAAGAATAAGAAAAGCCAAAAGTCAACTGCTGGTAAACTTATGTATGAGCTTCCACTCAATGACTGTAAACATTTAAATGCCAAAAGTATTTCTTCAGTGGATAATTCTTTTGGGTATTTACTTATTGCAACCATTAAGCTTAAGGCCCAAGGACCAGTTCCTCCATTAGTTGCAGGATGAATTCGAAATGTAGCTTCCATAATTTTTAAAATCAATAACTAATATGAAACCAATAACATTATAAGTATAAGTATAAAATGTTAATAATATTTTTAAAAATTACCCGATCCTTTTGATGGCCACATTTGAAAATGACCAAAAATAAATTGAACAAATCCATATTTTTTAAGACTTGCCAATCACTTGTAGAACGTGTACCATCTCGAAGTATTTCAAAAAACCAACGTATGTGAAGTGTTTTATCTTTAAGTCCAGAACTATTGAACACAAAAAATAGAACAATTAATACTGTATTATTATCAAAAATTAATAAGGATACATACAATGCAGTTAAAAATGTTTTTAATTCCGGAATATGATTGAGCCGAGCAGCTGGACGAGCCAAAAGTATTCTACAACAAGTAGATTCAATGCCTTTCTCATGATTAGCCATAGCTAATACCATTCTACCTAAAAACAATGCTTGAATCATGGACAGTTGAGGAGGAGGTTTCAAATGCAAATCTTGGATGCCTTGTGCAACCCAAGAACTAAAATGATCCCAAAACAAGTTTTCAGCTCTTCTACTGCAGTAAAGTTTAAAAAATAAAAAGATGATAATAAAATATGTATATTGGTTATTAATATTACTTTAATTTACCAAAATAAATGAGATCGCAGTAATGTTAAAACATGATATGCAGCTGAACGCATTGAGCAGTCATAACTGCCTAAACAAGCCAAAACCATTGACAGACAACCACTTCTATTAAACTTTTCTATACTCAATGGTGCTTCAGTGGCCAACAAACTGCTAATCATTGGTAGAAAAAATGAAGGGTCAAACATTTGACTCGGGTCATTGGAAGTGTAATGTACAATTTTTTGGTCCTACACAATATTTTAATTTTGAAATACAATATTTGTTTTGTGATGATTTCATTAATTGAACACTTACTTTAATGTGTAGGGTTCTATTAATAGGAAAACAAGATATAGTTTCTTTCAGTCTTTTTAAAGGTATGTAAGAAAGCACTTCAGTTGTTGAAGGAAAACTGTTTAATGTTTTTGATATAAGATGGTTTTTCACTTGATAATGTGATATGGCAAATGATCCCCACAAGTAAGGTCTATAATTAGACATTGGTATAGAATTTTCTTCATAACGAAAAAGAATCTAAAATCATAGAAATATGTAATAACTAATTGGTAGTTTTAGTTTTTAATATGACAATTTACCCTTAATAATATTTGGTCAATAACTGATAATGATGCATTGTACGAACAGAGGAAAAGTGGAACATGACTTACAGCCATTATTGATGGTTCTTTCTTAATTAAGGTTTCAATCAATTTTAATACTTCTTCTGTGAGCAAAAAAAAAAAAATGTTTGATTAATAATTCATGATAAAGGCTTAGAAAATGATAACTCTTTCATTTTATCTGTTAACTACAAATATATTTTAATAACATAATTTCTTTATTGTAGTATTTGGAGTACAATTAACCTTCTGGCATTTAAAAATATTGACATGAAGAACATTGACATATGTGTATATTTATATGTCATTGCATCAATAACTATTATGATTTTTTTAATTTAATTTATTGAATTAGTTTCTAGTTTATCTATTTATACTTTATTGTTTAAAGGTTTGAAATTAACTCAACATTTTTTTTTTTTAAACTACTCATCTAAAAAAATACTTTAAATTTATGTATTTTTTAAACATGAATTAACTTTTTCATAAAAATAGAATTATATTATAAATATTATTGTATTTTATTAGTTAAACATCAAATATTGTGCTTATAAAATTAATCATTTTACAATTAAAAAGTAAAAGTATTATCATATAGTTATTTTTATGGATTCTAAACACTTTTAGGCCATATTTGTAAATATTTTAATTGGTCATTGATTTTCAAGTCTTATTTTAAAATAATTAATATTAAAAGTGAATTACCTTTTTGGATTCGTTTAGCATCTCGACTTAACATTATATTACTGAACTGTGAATGGCCAGCAAGCAACTCAAAAGATTTTGATGTAATAGATTTATCTATATTAGCTTTTTTTACTAGTTTTCTCAAGACTCTTATAAAACAATATTCAGGGTTTTCTTCAACTAAACCATATTTTACAGCTTTCATAATTATATCGTCCCAATCACTAATTTGTATTGGACAATTAATTTCTAACAATTTGAGATTATTAATAATTTGATTAGATAACCAAACAATATCATCACTGTAAAAAAGTACAAATAATAGGTACATTAAGTTAAACATAATATAATACTTATGTATTTACAATAATAAAGATGTTATTTATACCTTGCGGGAGACAAAGAGAAAAGAGTTGTAATTAAAAACTGAGTAAATTCTAGTTCTTTATTACATTTTGCAGCAACTAAATCTACAAAAGAAACTGCTGTCATTGTTATTTTAAATATTGACCAATTGGTTTTTAATTTATTAAATAATTCATCACATTCGTCTTCATCTAAAAATATAAATCCAAGTAGAGAATAACATACAAAAAAACAGATTAAAATATTTAAATTTTATTATTTATTTTCTTTATACTGTACATTTTAATCAAATATCATTTAATTCTATAATAGATATTTATTTATTTATCAACATAAAAATAATCATTAAATTAAGCTAATATGTTTTATTGCCTAATATTAGTAAATAAACTATATTATTTAATTAAGAGTACTAATTTAATCTAATAGGCTAAATAATTATAACTTTGTTTGTCCCAAAAGAAAAAATAGATTTGATAAACATATAATATTTAATAAGGAAATAATAATTGGAGAAAAATTGTGACAGAGCTTCTTAGTTATAAAGAAACTGATTAACTAAAGTATAATCATTAAAATATTATGTATTGTAGTAAGACCAAAGTATAAGAGATAAAATTAATTTAATAACAATTTAGATGATAATTTAGCTTCTAATCAGGAAACTAAATAAAAAAAATAATGCACAGCTAGGATATAATGTTATGCTTTTTAGATTCATCTAATTTTTTAAATAGAGAATAAAAATGTATTTATTATGAGATACTTTAACCTTCCTTAAATTGATTTCAATGAAATAACAAAAGGCTTCAACAGCTTTAATACGTCAGTTTGTTGTTACACGAGTTATACTCATACATTTTGATACACTATTTCATTCACTTTAATCAGTAAAATTAATATTCATTTAATTTAATAATTGTAATTACTAGTTTTTAGTTATAATGGATCCATTTAGAAGGTCAAGTGTTATTCCAAATAAAGTATGTAGTTTATTTTATTAATGATTTGTTTAAAAGTTAATTATATTTTATTACTTTTTGAGGATGAATATTTGGATAATGCTCAAACATTTAATCGAACTTCAAAAATATTTGAAGAATTTCTACATAGTTTTGAACAGTATGATAAGGAAGAACAGCACAAGAGACGAGATTCATCCTCTTTAAGTGACTGTGTTAAGGTACCTAGGAGAAGAGTATATGTCAAACAAAGTTATTTTCCTGTGGACGCATCATTTGTAAAAGCTAATCCAAACCATATTTACATAACTGATGTAAACGGACATTTGTATATTGTTAAGTATAAAGCAATTAGATGGTAAAAAAATTGTATATAAATTTATTAATTTTATCAAAGAATATTAATACATTTAATATATACATTAAATAGTATTAAACATTAATTTAAACTTACCAAATCCAATTAAATGTAGACCTATAAAAATATCTCCATTTTCATTAAACCATGGTGGACTGTCTATCAACATTTTATATGTATTTATTTTATTCATTGTATTTCTTACAATAACTGGATCACATAACATTTCTGGGAGCCTTTTATACAAAGCTGACATAAGGTAAGTCCATTGTTCTACTGGTAAATTGTCTAAGTTTAAATCATAGTCAATATCATTGTGTCGTAACACCAAAAATAAAATTAAAGGATGTAATGTTTTTTCCTTTGTGTTTGAAAGAAGATGAATAAATAATCCTATGAAAAAAAAAAATAATAATAATAAATATCTGAATATCATAAAAAAATAAAAAAATGTTGTTATATATTACTTTTTGGAATAAGTGAAATTTGCTGAGAATAAATTTCAAGGTATTTTAAAACAAGATCCAAAAATTCATGAGACACAATATTTTCACAAATATATTCTATAATATTTGTAAACTGTTGATTGTCCAGGTATTTTTTATTTTCAATAGATTTTTTTAATTTTACTTGATAGTCTTTCATGGTAGGTATAATCTTAATTGAATCACAATCTATAAATAATAAAAATATTTTATTATAAAATAATATGTATACTATTCATTCAAATTTCAATTATATATATATTATCATTTTGAACAAAATAATTTTTAATGATCAAAAATAAAAAAACAGCAATTGTCATTTGAAAAAAAAAAATTTTATCTCTACAGAGTTTATTGCTTATAAGACACTTTTTAAATGGCATACAAAATTGAGGTATTAGGAAACAATATAAATAATATAATTGTTATGTACTTTACCTTTAATTGGCTGAGTCTATGTTTTATACTCAATTGATTAAATGGTGAGAATTCTCTCAATTTGTTTTTATACAACTTTAAAATTAATATATTTGAATTTTTCTTTCATTATATAAACCACAACAATTAAATTATTCAGTATTAATATTCATATTATTATTTATTCTATACAGGGAATTTCTCTCAATATCTTAGCATGTGAATATTGATTGTGACAGATGAATACAGTAAATCAAAATATACTTTGATGTAGTATGTACCATTATTTATAGAAGATAAGTTATATTATAAATTATGATACTTAAGGTAATAAACTAATATAATAGGCAATGATACAAGTAATAAGAAAATATCTCAACACCCAACCAACGACAAAAGCCATGATCACACTAGGAGTACTTCATGAAGTAAATGTATTACATACTTCATAAGAAAATACTTAACTAAATAGCTAATATAAACAGAGGTCCTGATTTTTGCAAGACAATATAGAATTTTAGATTCTCAAACAGATGTCCAGTTTAATTTAAGTTTAATTAAGGATGTAAAATGTGCATATTGTGAAATACTTTAAAATGAATTATTTATTTATTTTATATTATCAAATATGTATCAATTGGTTGCAATAAGCTTTAAATTTAAATGAATTAGTTATTATGTATATTATAATAATTTTAAGATTAATTTTTGTTTTTCTAAGCGATCTTGAAGAGGCAAACTACTTATTAACTAACATAAAAATTAATATGGAAATGAAAACTGATTACTAATTATCTATAACATTTTAAGTTACTGATGATGTGAAATAACAGTAATATATCACTTACAATATTTATTATACAAATTTGTATATAGATACAATATTAACATAATAAGCAGTTGTGTATAATATATATCATTTTTTAAATATTTTTTATAGAACAAAACCTAATGCACTGAGGCATAAGTGTCATATGAAAAAAAGGTGAGATCTAAATTACTATAATTTTTATCATATAAATATTATAAATTAAAATACATACATCAATTTTCAAGTATTCAATATACAGATCTTGATTATTAACAATAGCTAAACTTTACCGATAAATTATCATTTTTTTAAAAAAATTTATAATACATAAATAAATAGTTATTCGTAATAATTATTTATTATTAATTCATAAATTAGTTAGTACTTGGTCGTTTACTTAAGTAGAAAATTGAAATTAAATTTTAGATGTCAAAATTTAAAAACTTTTAGGTTATACCGCGTTGGATAAAATGCATATAAAAAATACCAAGGTAAATTCAGTATCGGTCACTATAGTTGCTGGTTATCTATCTTTGCTTTCTTGTCATAATATTTTTATCACGGTGGCAAGCCTGTTGTTCAAACTCCGGTAACTGACCCCAACCTATCTAGCAAGTTGATTATGATATAATAATGATAACAAATTGATTTTAATTTTTTCTTACTTTACTAGTTACTACATAGTATATACTAAATAGTCGCATAGACATACTACTTAAATACACTTATAATTCTAATAATATGATAAATAGTTGTACATTTTTTAATGTTATTTTATCTGTTATTCGTTTAAATCATCGTTTTCTATAGAATTCTTTGATCCATACTATTTTGTATATCTTCTAATGCTAACAATTTAAAAATATTGCAAATAAATCAAAATGAACTTTTTACCAAAATCTATATAGTAAGATAACTCAAGATTCAATTAATCTAGTTAAATAACAAAATGATTTTTGTTATTTTCTTATGCATATGGTAACGTTTACTTTTATTCTTTAGCTCTAGTACGTCATTGGCTTCAAGAAATTTAGCCTTGTACTGTGCCAGCTCTTCGTGTATTGATCGATCAAAATGCCGCAAATTTCATTTTTCATCACCCTCACGCACGCCTGGAGATATCATATGTCCTTCTCTAGTTCAAGGAATTGATTATATTCGTGACCCTCGATTAAACAAAGGCCTTGCTTTCACTCTGGAAGAACGACAAGCACTTGGTATACATGGTTTGATGCCACCAAAATTTAAAACACAAGAAGAACAACTTGAAGTATGTCGATTCAGTGTCATGAAGTATCAGGAAGATTTGAATAAGTTCTTATACCTGGCTGAATTACAAGTAATCAATTTGTTTTACTTGTGCTTTTAATTACTTTTTTAATAAAAAACTGATTTGCAGGATCGAAATGAAAGGCTTTATTTTAGGCTTTTGTCTGAAAATATTCATATGTTATTACCAATTGTTTATACTCCAACTGTTGGATTAGCATGCCAAAAGTTTGGTTTGATATTCCGCCGTCCTAGAGGATTATTTATTACCATTAATGACAAAGGACATATTTATGACTTGTTGAAAAATTGGTAATTACCTATTAATTTTATTAATCAAATAATATGCTTTATTAATCATGAATTTATATTTTTATTATACACTGTTAATAACTTCAAGTTAATTAATCTTAAAATATTACTATTGTACTTAACTGTTGATTTATTTATACATAATTTAAAATTTTTCAAATTTCAAGAAATACATATTATCCTAATCACAAAAATTAATATTTCATATAGATAACATATTTATAACACCATCATTACTTCATTTTTTAATTCTGCTTACAATTATATTGATGAAATAGGTCAGTAGAAAAAAAATTTAATGGCTAAGCTATTGTGGTACATTTATTGGCTGTTGACCAAGATTTTCTTCATTATATAGCAAATAGACTAAATTTTAAATAATATTTTTAGTAAAAACATAGTTGGGTGTACACATTTAAATTTTTTTAACACTTGTTTGGAATTTGTACAATTTTATAACAAAAATTGCAGTTGTTTGTTAATATATAAATACATATAAAAAATACTATATGAATTATAAACATTTATTCATCACTTAAAAGAAAAAAGTAATAGTATAAAATAATCTTATATATCTTCAAATATAATTTTTTAAATTATAAGTTTTGAAGTTTATTGTTATGTTTTTTTCTTTAAAAAAGGTTTATTATATATTCTACTTAATTGAGTTTGATCATAATTATTAAACCAATATGATTTCATTTCACTGTATTTAATATTTTTATTAATTATCATTCTATTATTAGTGTACTATTTAATATTTATGCAATATATCAGAATAATTTTTTTTACATATAATATACCTATAAACAAATGTTTATTAAAACTATATAATATAATTATATCTTTAAAATAAAATGTTTACTTAATTCTTTTTAATTATATTAAGGGAGCTTAAAACTAAAAACTAGTTTGTTTTTTTTTTAATTAAAGTATGTTATATTCTAAAAACGAGAGTATGAGTCTCATATTTTAATTATAAATATTAAATAAAATATAAGTATTTCACTATATGCACAAAATATCAATGAAATAAAATTAATTTAATTTATTCTGGTAATGTAATAATGTCATTGAGCCAGACTTTTAATGACTATATTTTTTATGTGTAAAAGTGTCTTAATTAGTTTAATAATTCTAATTTCTAAAGTTAATATACATTATTATTATTATTATTACTTAACATGAAGTGTATTTATGACATTTACATGTTAAATATTAAAAAAACTATACAGTTAGTATATTAAGTGTTGTTTCTAATCATAATTCACTTATATGACCATATAGACTACTTAATATTTTATATTTTATATAATAAATCATATTTATAATTATTAATATATCTTTTAATTGCTTATTTACATAACAGTTAAAAAAAAAAAATTAATCAACACTACATACTTCAAATAACAATAATAGTTAATAAATAAATAATTTATATATTTAAATCTAAAGAATAAACAAAAAAATTTATAAATAGAGAATAATTAATTTAGTATAAATACAAACAATGCAAAATAATTAGTTGTTGAGATGTGCAATAGATTAATAACAAAATTATTGAAAATGTAGTGTAATATATAATTGATGTATTGATAAGATATATTGTAAATTTGTATATAGTGTATGATCACAATTTCAGGTACTATTAAATATCTCATCTGAATAATTTTGTATTAAAATAGAGTTTTTAGGGGAAAAAAAGTCCAAAAATATACATTTTCAATTTAATTTTTAACCTTTTTGGTGTGATCATGTACAATAAAAATTACTGTTTTTTTTTATTGGAAACACCATTTATTAAGTACAGATTTGGAAGAGGTATTTTTTTAAAACAATTTTTGCATGAAAATATTTTTTTTCTAATTAAAAAATTGACCAAGTTGGAGTAGGTCAACATTTTAGTTTATACATACTTCATTTTAAAAAAAATAATAATTTACAATCACTACAAAAAATACAATAAGTGTTTAAATATTCATTATCTATTTACAAATAATAATTTAATAATATAGGCCAACCTTATGATTATCCCAAGTACGTGATAATTTGTATTTAGTTAACTGCAATAATATGATTACAATTAGAATTATTTTACAGTAGATTTTATTTTATTTTTAATAATTCTAATAACAATAAGATTAGATATTATAGTTGTTAAAATATTTAATTTAATGAAAAAGATTGTTTTGCTTTTGTTCTTCAACTAGATAACTAGGTAAATATATGCATTCTCATTAGTTTAGTAAATATTTCTATAATTGAATGTTATGAATAATGGTAAAAAAGTTGAGTTAATTTAAATTTATGGTGATTGCCATCATTATGTACATTTAGCTGCTAGAATTGTTTCTGATGATACCATCCATCTCCTAATTATGTTTTACAATTCTTACAAGGATTAAATCACGGTGAAAGATTTAATTTAACTTTTGTTATTAATTTAATTGCAGTTTACAAAATAATAAAATAACATATACTTAAAATAATGTTTAATTATTTGATATTAATTTTATTAGTTATAGTGGTTATAAGTTAAAATATTGTCATAAACAAATTATACATCAATTCAAATCTCGACTTACTCCAACTTGGTAAAAAACTTTGCATGAAAAATGTTCCATCCAAATCTGTAAAAAAAAAAAAAAAGGTATTACAATTTCAAAAAAAGAGTTATTTTACATATGTGCTCATCAAAAGGGTT